TCGGACCCTTATCATATGAATGAAAGCACTCTTAGCAAAGCAGCCTTCACAGAACTTTTAGGAATTCTTTCTTATGCCTGATCACCCTGGACCCCACTCTAGCCAGCAAGGGGCTGCACCACCTCCCCCATCATAGATTTTAGGCTTCAGTGGATTAGAGCCAGGAAGCGCTTCTCCCAGAGGACATGGGGACTCAGGTTATGTCAGAATAGCCAGACGGCGAGGGTTCATCACCCCCTCTTTGTTGCAGCCCCTGAGTCCCTCCTTGATGGCCTCCCAAGTGATCGTGTCTGGCTTAGGTTGCCCCCTCTCTGAGGGGTCTTACCCGTCATACACTAACCGACCAAGCGTTGGGGTCAAGGGGAAGAAGCAGAAGCAGCGCTTGCTGCCAGAGACAAGCTTTGTCTCCTTAGTGGCTTGCATTCTGTAGGTCACTCACTCAGTCTTAGCCATGGGGGGCAGTTACAACTCCTGAAACCAGGCAGAGGGTTCCCAACAGGCCTATTGCACAGCATCGCACAGGGATCGAACGAGATCACATATGGGAAAGTTATTTTCCTTCAAACAGGTAGTCCTAGCAGAAGACTGGATGGCAGTGAAGAGGTAGGCTAGACAGGTGGCCAGACTGCAAAACCAGGCGGGACCCCAGGAACGGGCAGGATCCTGTGGCAGAGTCAGATTCACGGTGTTAGTTCACGTCGTCTCCTCTGCCTGGAATGTCTTCCTACCTTTTCTAAACTCCTGCTCATTGTTAAGAGCCCAGTTCAAACAATACTTCTTTTTGTTAGTATCCTCAGAATAAATCATTCTTTCTTCACTGCTCCCTTGGCCTAACATACCTCTAATAACACTTTTCACTCTGTACAGTAAGGATTTATTTATGTTCCTAGAAGCTCTTATAGAGCAGAGACGTGTATTCTTTATCTTCATATCTACCTCCCCGCCCACCACCATGTGTGGCCAGCGCAGGTGAGCAGGAAAGGTGCATCAGCGCACACAGAGCCTGAAGGTGGTGGTGGGTGGGGAAGCCAGGAAGGTAGTGTCCCCAAGGCCTGCCTGCCCCTGGTAGTAAGGGCAGAGCCACAGAAATGGGAGTCAAAACCAAACTGCAAGTCCTGGGAGGACCAGGTGGGAGCACCAGACTAAGTTTCAATGACCTAAACTGGAACGGGAGGCCCTGGGGACAAGGAACAAGGGCAGAGAACAGAGTCAAGGCGAAAAGGCAGAGCAAAAAGCTCAAGTGAGACTGAAGCCTGGAACTTCTAGATTGGTTAACACTCTCAAACGTTATCATTGGTTCACATGCCAAAGATGAGCCAGCAGCTCGGGGTTAAGTGATGTTGGCTACGACACGGAGGGGCTCCAGCAGCCGGAGTCGTTACAAACTTAAGTCACGATTATTATATGAAATAAGAGTCACAGGTGGAAGGGACTCTTTGATCTATAAGAAACATTAGGAATCACCTGGTCTAACGTCCCCGACCTACATATCGCGGAACTGAGGTGCAGGAGGAAAGGGGGATTGCCCAAATGCACTGGGTCAAGGCGAAACCAGACCTAGAACCCAGATCTCCTGACTCCCAATTTAGCCCTTGTCCCTCTGAGGCTGTTCACCCTCAATCGAGCAGGTCTCCCGATGGATCCACGAACATACCAGGTACCTGGCTCTGCCTGCTTCAGAACCTTGGAGGAGCCCCAACGTGCCCACTAAGTGAGCACAAACACTTCTGCCAAACTGTAAAATGCAGGCTCCCACCACTGGGTGGAATTTAGAGCCACTATTCCACAGGAAATATGCAGGCAGCAGCCCCACTTAGGGCTTGGGAAGCGGAAAGCTGCTGTGGAGTGGATTTGCCGTCAAGGAGCACGCCGACCTGTCCCCGCACACTCTGACGTATGTGGGGGGTCAGTCCCAATCGCTGTGCTACCCCTGGACTTTTCCAAGGGCAGCTGGGAGGCCCAGCATCCGAGGCAAAGTTGACAATGCATGAAACACAGTTTCACCGCTGTGAGAACATTAAAGGAAGGTGCATCGGGTCCAAAATCTCAAAGTCTTTCTCAGGCCGGAGATGAAACACAGCTCAAAAGAAAAATAATGAGACCCTCAGGGAATCAGAAACCCTGAATCTCAGACTTCCAGAACTTTCATTCAGGTGAAGATACACATATAAAAGGACATGTGCAATTTTACTTCATCTACACACAAAAAATTGTGAGCTTCTGGTACTTCAAGTCCAAGTCCCAGCCCCTCTGTTTTCCTACGGCGTGATCCCAGGCCAGTGACTTCCCATTCTGAGCCTTTGCCTCCTTAGTGGTAAAGCTGCGAGTATAACCTGTGCCCGGGCTTTACTGAGAAGATGAAATGATATACAGAAAGCATTTCGCACACTGCCTGGCCCCTAACAACCGCCGGGCAACATTGCGTTTATCTGCTTTCTTGTGTTCACAGGAAGAGATGCTTACATCACAGTCCAACTCTACCTATCTGTGCTTTCCCCTCCTGCCTGGCTGTCCCTCTGGACCCTTCGGGGCAGACATCCAACCTGAGGGTCCAGCCCAGACAGCTCACTCCTCCCCCAGTTTATCCCTTAGACATAAAGAAGGCAATTGGTCAGCTAAGGGCCACACTCAGGTCCTTGAAGATCAGGAATCATCACTTCAGTTCAAGGCTGTTCCTGACTCCCCAGGTGTCCACAATTCCCTAGCCAAGCTCCTGCCAGGGTAATACCCTGTCATGTCCAAGGGGAATGGGGCTGGGAATGGCACTTGGGCTTGACAATTGCTCCTAACAGCTTATAGCTGCTCACATTGGTTTGGCTGTGGGCCTCAGGCAAATAGATGTCAGACCTGGACATCAACCTCGGAGATCATTCCCAGCCCCAGCTTACCTACAGAAACAGCCTGGAGTCTGAACCTGCAGTGAGACCAGCGAGTATACACAACAGCACCCCAAAGGCTGGAGCGGAGATGGAGGGGAGCTCTGAATGAAGCCGCTACAGGCTTCAGATTGCCCTGCTAAGAAGCTAAATGAGAGTCGCATCACTGTCAGACTCTTAGGCTATATGTTTGCACCGGCCATGTCTGTCACAGCACTGCAGTTGTGGCCACCACAGGGCGTTAAATGGCTTCAAAGGGGAAGAAGACAAAGGGCCCAACAATAACTGAGTGAGTTCCTTCCACATGCGAAGAACCTTGCAAGTAATTCTCATTAATGACCTTCTGTGGCAGATATTATTATCCTCGTCTTGCCAGTAAAACCAGAGACTCAAAAAAAATCCACGAAGCCTCTGTGCCTCTGCTACGCTCACTACCTGACCACGAAGTCTCAGCAAAAAGAGCCTAAAGCCTTTATGTTCCCAGTCTCAGCTCCTGAACGTACTAAGCAGACAAAACCGGCTTCGATACCACACGCCCCCATTCACTGCTGGCGGAGGCGACGTCTTTCAAACGGCATCCGGAGAAACAGAGCGGAAGTCGTAAAGGTGCTTGCGGCCTTTGCTCCTGCAATTTCATCCCCAGGACTGTATCTTCAAGAAACAACTCAGCAGGGTATTCACTGTAGAGTCCACCCCAGTGCCCAAAAAAATAAAAGTAAAAAGGGAACGATCTCAATGTCCAACACTCAAAGAATGACTCAGGAAATACCAGAACCTTCCAACCATGTAACAGCCATTTGAAATGATCTCAAAGACCAAGGAAAACAAGCAGTTGTGGTAAAATAATGAAGGCAATACAAAATATTATAAATAATTTTGTAAAGAATATATATATTACATTTCATGTGTGTATATACATGTGTGTGTGTGTATATATATATATATACACACACACACACACATATGAAATGTAATTGGGTGAGGTGGTAAGATTATGGATGGCTTTTTATTATCATTATTATCATTATTGCCATGTCCAAGCTGTCTCTGCAGTGTTGTTTAGTGCCTTTCAATTAAAGAAAAAGAGAGAAAAGACAGACAGACCCTGCGCAGCACTGAGAGAAGGCCCAAGAGGACCAGGGCTGAGAGGCGAGGCAGAAATGGAGACCGTCCTACATACCCAGAAGGAGGAGACCAGGCAGGCCCTGGGGGAAGGGAGGCCCTGTAGGTACGGGCAGGGTTGTAATTAGTCTGATGCTAATTACAGAAGTCTCACTAGCTTATTAATTTTTTTTGACAGACTCTGAATGAAAACTGAATTCCTTTATCAAGTCAGCTTGGGTTCAGAGGCACATTTCCTTTGTGGCCATCCTCATTCTTCTCCCAAACCAAGGCTTTTCTTTTTCTTTTCTTTTTTTTTAAGAGCAGCAGTAAAGTAAAATTTAGTAACAGAAGCAAGCACACACCCTGGAGAAATTAAGGCTCCTGCCTTAAATGTAGAAATTCAAGACAATTCAGGGAAGCACAGGGGCTTGAATAAGCAAATGAACCACAATGTTTTCTACACTGGAAAATAGAAACAGAAGCACAAAATACTCAGCTCAGTAGTACAGAGGCCCCAGGTCAGGTTCCACCCCATCTTTCTGACATCACCCTGCATTCACCCCCACGGACACCCATGCTCCAGGGGTCCCCCAAACACTTTCTTTACTCTCCTACCTTCGTGACTCTGTTTGAGCCGTTATGCCCACCCGAAAAGTCCTCGTCTACAGCTGCCCACTCACATCTGACCCATCCTCAAGACAGAGCGTAAAGCCATGTCCTCCTCGAAGCCTAACCTAATCCCTGCACCCCAAACTCATTTCTCACTCCTGAAGTGGACCCAGCGTACCTGGAACCTCCCCAGAGGCCTTACACACAACCTGCCCTGCAGTGTAATTATTGGGGTAACTGCCTTTTCTACCATTTAAACCACAAACAACTTGAGGCAAGGACCCTTTTCAGATTTCCACGTGGAACCTACCATAATGTCTGGAATATATGCACAGAGGAGGCGCTCAGTAAACACTTTGCTGAAAGACAAGGAAAAGGGATGCGTCGCATCTTTGGAGAGTCACTTCCTACCTCAGTCGCTCCTGTCAAGCAGTGCAGAGACGAAGGCGTGCTTTTCTGTGGTCTTGAGCAACGCAGGTGTGAGCCCTGCTCTTCTGGTTTCCAGCCTTCAGGAGACTCCAGCTTCCTCCCTAGTTGACCGTAGTCTGCTCGGCCCCAAGTAAACACCTTGCCAGTTTCTAAAAACAAACATTTGAGTTAAGGCTGCATTCCACAGCTCTCATGAATAGGCACTCTTGTCATTTCGAGAGAGAGTGTGAACATTTATTTTAGTACCAACTACTACGTACCAGGAGCCTTTCTATCTGCCTACAAGGAAAGAACGAGTAGCCCTGGCCAGGTGGCTTGTTTGGAGCATCGTCTTGTACGCTGAAAGGTTGCGGGTTTGACCCCCAATCCGGGCACATACCAAGGCTGCAGGTTCAGTCCCTGGCTGGAGTGTGTCTGTGAGGCACCCAATCGATGTCTGTCTCTGTCTGTCTGTCTTTCTCTTTCCCCCCTTCCTCTTTCTAAAATCAGTAATAAAGTATCCTCAGGTGAGGATTTTAAATAAAATGTGCACGTATCCACATTTTACAGGGGTGGGAAACCAAGGTGAAATAACTCGCTCGAGACCGAATAAGCGGTGAGCGGCAGAGCTGGACCCCAACAGAGACTGACTCTAAAGCCCACGCTCCTGCACTTTGCAGATCCGGCCACGACGCTGGGAAAGCCGGCCCACGCTCTGTGACCTACCCACCTCTCTCTCCCCACGCCTCATGGCGCGTTGCCCTGATGTCTGTTCTCAGGCTCTCCTCTCTCCTCTACCTCTCTCACTCCCGCAGGCCCCCCACCAGCCACCCTGAAGTCCCCAGGCTCCTGACTTGCCCTGTGGCACAACCTCTTAGGGCCTTCCTCTAAGCCCAATTAATGGCCAGTTTCCTGTGTTCTCCCCTCGGTGCAACATCAGGGGCCCTTCCAGAGTCTATGCTCTTACTCAAAGGAGCAATTCTAACAGTCCCCAGGCAAGTGTCTCTGTGTGCCAGGGAAGGGAGTGAGAGAAGGAAAAAAGACAAAGTCATTTACAGCCAGAAAAGCATTCAGTTCCCCAGATGCACCACCTGGGAAGCCGGCCAGTGCTGAAGATGATTGAAGAAAATGAAGTTTGGAAAGAGAGAAATAGCCTTTCTTCTCCCAGATAAGAGAAATTTCACCAAATTCATTCAGTTGTACCAAGTGCCACACTTGTTATTTCAACAGAAATGCAAAATCCGATGAGGCATAGATTATTAACAGATTCTCTGCAATAAATATGCATAACCATGTGCGCTGTATAAAGTCTTTATACATGTTTATTTTAACAAAGAAAAACTTTGCTTAAGAGACAAAACACCAAGTAATGCATATTAAATTCTAGACAAATCTACTACATACTCTGTGTTTAGCATCAAAGCTTCATCTGGCCCCACACTCAACATATGGCTCATAGTGTCAGCTGAAAAGCAGCCGCAGACGCGCAGGGGAAATGTCAGCATCGCAGACACACAGGGCTCTGCAGGGCGCGGTTCTCGGGCTCGGTCTCCTCCCGGACACCAACACAGACACCGGGGAGTTCTCGGGGACCCCGCTTCTGAGCTTCAAAAAAGGGGGCGAAGTCTGGGCAATGTGTGTGGTAGCAGGCCTATTTTAAGAACTGCGAGTGGGTTCACTCAGATGTCCCACTTCACAGCTGACGTGCCTGTTCCTCTTTGCCATGGATGTCCTTCCCTGACGTGACTCATCTGAGAAACAATGGCTCAACCTTTACAGTCCAGTTCGTGTACCACCAGTTCTGTGAAACCTCTCCTGACTCCTTCGTTCTCCGCAGAAAGGGTGAAACTCACCCTCCCATGATTATTGCACTCATCGACTATGTTCCCGTTCAACAACTGAGAAAATTAAGGTTCAGAGAAGCGAGCAGCCCAGGGTCACACAGCTAGGCCACCTCTCCTTCTGCGAACCCATGGCACCTCTCTACACTGCTTATTCATACTGGTCCACATCACTAGGTAACCACTCAACACTCCGCCTTCACTTCTGTAGGGTTAGACTCCCAAAAATCCCATGTGCCCAGGACCCCAAAAGCATCCAAAAATGGGAAGTTTTTGGTTTGCCTGAGCTGGCTGAGATTTACAACCAGACTGCCCTAGCACAGAGCTGCCCAAGCAGCCAGACAAGGAGACTGATTTCTTTAGTGACCCTAGAATCCTCTGCTGGAAAAAACTGGCAAGGTGCTATCTGCAATTCTGTGGAAGGACTTGTGCTATCACAAATCCCACAATGAATCCTTTCTTATCAAGTAAAACATCTTAGAGCCTTCTCTGCTATTGATTATTGATTTCCAAGACAGGCAAGGCTGCCAGAATATGGTGCCACCATTATTACATCTCCAATAGCAGTTCAGCCATTCCACTTACATAGCACTTTTCACTTGCAAAGTGCTTTACCAAGATTAACTAATTAATCCTCATGCTCCCTGGGGAGACCATACACGTTCTATTAGAGACAAACCCAGAAACCAGGCCGGCCCGATGTCCAGCCTTCAGTCTCCAGGCTGTTTGCTCGGTCAGATGGCTGCATTTTCTGAAGCCATTTCCCCCCAAAGTATATTCCGCACCAGAGAGCTCACACACAGAGGATGGAGGAAACTCTTATTTTTTCTTTTGAACAGACGCTTATTGACCACCTCCAAGGTGCTGGCACATTCATAGGCACTCTCTCAAGTAATCCTCCTAATAATTCTGTGATGTATACATTATTAAGCTTATTTTCCAGATGAGGTTAAATGACTTGAGAGGTGAAATGACTTACTTGGTCGAGTGGGAACACCTGACCAGCCGTGGAATCAAGACTTAAGCCTGCGCCTCCTGACTACGGGGCCGGCCGGCGCTCCAACGCTAGCGCAGCCGCCATCACACACCGGCAAAACCCGGCCGACGGGACACGTTCGCACAGTGTTTGAGGAGGGGGAACCCAGATTAGATGGATACGTTCTGTGTACCACCCAGCTTCCCACACTTTCCAGGAGGACACGCAGAACTTGGGACTATAAGTACTAAACGACAAACATTAAACACAAGGATTAGGATTCTAGGTCACCTGGGGTAAAAGGAAATAATAAATCCACACACGAAAGATGCTCACTCCCGTACTGCAGATAAATGTCTGCCTCAGGCTGAAGCACACCGTCAAATCTAGGAAGATTCAGATCACAAATGTCACACATGCATCTTTTCCTTAAAGAATTATATATTACTATGATAAAAGAGATACATTAATGTCATTCAAAAAGTATAGGTATGTGTCTCCAGACAAATGATAAATGACAAACAGGTCAAAAGAAAGCCAGTGAGCAAGACCTAATTTAAAGGCAAGTCCATGCGAGAATTAACAGGACTACAGAGCCAAGAAATGCACACAGCCAAAGATCCCAACCCCAGGCAGAGAACGGCAGGGGCCGAATGAGCAGAATGGACAGTGAGTGCCCAGGAGCCTGAGGAAGCGCTTCAGGCTAGAACGATCCTGGCAGGCTTGATGGAGCAAGTGGCGTGTGAGGTGAACTTGCGCCTGAGAAAATGAGCAAACGCTCTAGGAACAGGAACAGGGGCTGAGCAGTGATGGACATCAAAGGCACAAGGTGGGGCAGGCGGAGAGAGAGGGAGGTCCATGAGGAGGAGGGACCGGCAGCAGGCTCAGCACCGCCAGGCTGGGGCCAGCCCCAGGGCACTGCCAGGCTCGGAGTCTGGACCTCAGCTCCTGGACCAGGACCTCCGAACTCCCCCGCCTGCACCCCCCTCCTGTCAGCAACACATGTGTAACCACCACCAACATATGTATACTTATTTGTTTGTTTGTTCGTATGCATTTATTTTTTGTATATTTATTTAGTATACTTTAAATATAAATGTGTATTGCACGCATTTATAAATTATAAATATACCCTTACTCAAAAAATATACAGTGTAAAGCATACTCAAAAAGTCAAAAATTTTTAAAAATGAGATTAAAAAAAATATGTAAAAGAAGTCCATTTTCTCTTCCCATACCATGGCAATTTGGTCTGGCATGCTAGACAGACAGACTGCAGATTTTTGAGCAGGGGTGGAGCCCAATAAAAGGAACGTTCTGGAATGGTGCACCTGGCAAAGGATTGGAGGGCTCCCATAATAATAATACTCACAGCCAGCACTTCTGCAGCGCCTACTCCGTGCCAGGCACTGTTTAAACATTCTCTGTATAGTCTCCTGTTTATCCCTCCCAACAACCCCACGAGACAGGTACTCTTACCTGCCTCGTTTTACCGACAAGGAACAAGGCACTCACCTCGTTCTCAGTGGTAGTAAGTGAAACAGGAAGGACGTAGGGGACATTCTCTACAATAAGTCTAAGATGCATCAGGACCGAAAGAAGGGCTGGGATCACATGGAGAAGAAGTCAAACTCTGCAAGGCGTGGCACCCAGGTAGATGTGAGAGGAAGGAGAGGAGGAGATAAACCGCACTGAGACTTCGGGGTTTCCCGCTCAGTGGGAAGGCGGTGGCGCCGTTAAAAGAACTAGACAAACGGGCAGAGGAGCTTGATCAGGGTTCCCAGCAATGAGAATCATGGAATGTTCCTTCAAACCAAACGACCGAACACTTCTGAGACCTTTGGCAAACATCTTATCAAATGGTCAACACAAAGAGGTAGACGAGGAGAAAGACAGGTTGGCACAAGGCCCTAGGGAAGGAAGTGGGGGCTGTACCCTGAGGTCAGAGGACACTCAGGAAGGTGGGCGGGTGGTGAATACTCAAGGGGGCAGCAATCCTGTCCTTTATTCTCCATGGGCAGGCGGCCTGGACTGGAGGTAAAAGCAGGTGAAGAGCCACAGCTACAAGCACAGCGAGTAACTGAGCACATGAACCGTAAGGAATTTCCACCCTGTTCCAGGGAAAGGGATCCCAAAGGTGTCAGGAGGACAGATTCAGCACAGGGAATACAGTCAGTACTACTGTAACAACTACGTGCGGTGCCAGGTGGGTCCTTGAATTATTGGGGGAACACTTTGTAAATTACCTAATTGTCTAACGCCCATGTTGTACACCTAAAACTAATATAAAATAATATTGAATGTCAATTGTAGTTGAAAAATACAATTTTAAAAAAGAAACCAAAAAGATAGA